CGCGGCCGCCCGCTCCCCATGGGGCGCGGCGAGCGGGTCCCGGCACCGTGCGCCCCTGCCTGCCGCCGCCTTCTCCGCGGGTTCCCGCCTCGCTCAGCAGCCCGCGCGCCGGCTCCTGTTTCCCGGGCTGCTACTGCGCGGAGGCGGAATCCTCTGGTTCTCATGCAAAGGTGTCCGAGTTGCTGAGAGTCTGCCGCGGAGCCGGGTACCCTGCGCGCGGGCCGCGTCCTGGCACTTAAGCTGACCTGGAATCCGGGGCTGAGTCGGAGCCGCGGCTGGAGGAGCGGCCCAGCTCTGTGGGGCGGCGGCGGAGTCGGCTGCTCCAGCAGAGCTACCTCCGTGCGACCCTCCCCTTCCCGCCCCTTCCCCTCCCCCACCAGCCCGAACTGGGTTCCTGGGCGCTTATTGTTTTAATGAAAAAAAAAAAAAATTGGCTGTTGTTGTTTTGGTCCTTGAACGTGAGTTTTAGCTGCTAGTAAAGTGTCCTTGCTTCTCGCAGTCTCGTTCAGAGGGTGTTCAGAGAGGTCTCAGTGCATCATCCATGTTCTCAAATTCTCTCCCGTGGGGCACGGGTGCGGGGCCCGGGAGCGCCCTGGAGCGGGGCGGTGGCTTGAGCTCCCGGAGCTGGCTGCGCGGCGGCCGAAGCAGCTCTCGGGCGGCGGCGGCGGCGGCGGCGGTTCTCCCAGGCTGGACGCCGAGAGGGGAGCAAGCAGATTTTCTCAGCAAGATCTCCATGTACAGCTACATCTTTAGAGCCGCTCGGGTTAATATATGTCGTCAGAGGCTCCTCACGCCAATCCCGGGGCGGCGGGGGCGGCGCCTTGAGTTCTCCGCAATAAAACTTTTTGATGTTCGCGTTGCTAATTGTCGAGGTCCTCTTCCAGGATTGGCTGTCCCTTCGTAACCATAAGATAATTAAAACGGGGGGGGGGCAAAGTTAAAAAAAAACCTTTTTTTTAATCATCCAGAGGCTAATGCAAGTGTTAAACAGATGCTTCACTATTAAAATATTTCTCCCCAAGTCTCAAATATTGAAGAACGTTAAACCAGGTATAGTACCACTCTGGTTTCTTTTCTGGTGGTGGTGATGTGGGGGAGGGAGGGAGAAAGACAACCGGCGGATACTGCTTTTCAAAGAGTTTTGTAGGTAACAGAGGCAGAAAATGACCTCAGGCAGCCGCTTGCAGTTTTGTGTGGGGCGCCCGGGGCCAGCGAGGGCGTGGGGACCCCCATAAAGGTGCGGCTGCTGGCAGCGCATTCTCCTCTCCAAGGCGGCCTGGCGCGTGTGGGGAAGGCGCCCCTCTGGGCTGGCACAGGCTGGGAACGCGCGCGCGTCTTGGCGGCTCTTTGCTATTCCACCACGTTTCCTCGGCTGGAGCTGTTTGGGGTGGTTATTGTGACAACTTGTTGAGATCACGAGATCACGGTGGAGACGGCGGGGTAATCAGTCAAAGCGATTGTAAGTGCTCTTATTTCCCCCATTTTTCAGGGACATCAGCCTCAACGGAGACTTTGGGGGTATTCCACAGCGCAGGCACCTCGATTCCTCCAATCTTTGGTGTGGTCGGATCTGTGTTCTCCTGATTTAACTAGCCTGGTTGGTAAGTAACTGAATATTTTTTATAGCGTGTTCAGAGCTTATTTTCCAGTTTTTATGAACAAACATATAAATATATCTCTGCATTCCTGCCTCCCCCATAAAAGCAGGCATCTGTGGAAAACAGGTTTAGTTATCGGAGGGGAACCATTAAACGCCAGTTTAAGAGGCAGGCCAGGAGGACGGCTCGTGGATGTTTAGACTGCTGGCCTTGCTGATCTTGAAGGCATTATAACAGAAAGTGGATCTCCACTTGTAAGTCACCAACCGTGGGACACGGGCCGAAGGCGCCCTCTTGGCAAGAGCATTTCGAGATGGTTCCTGAGAGGGAGGGGTGGGGTCACCAGTGGTTGGGGGCTGAAATCACCCTCGAGATTTGGCTTCAGCCAAGGAGAGGTTGATGCGGCAGTGGGATTCTGCTTGAGGAAAAGTGTCAGCAGGAGCTCCGCTGGCTGTAAATTCCCAAGAATCCAGGGCAGAGCTCTTGGAAGGCGGCACAGGCCGGTGGGTTTGGGCCTGGCAAGAGTAGCCCAAAGGAAAGCAGTGATTATTTTGGACATCGTTTTTTTGAAGGCAAGAAGCAGCAGCGGCAGGCAGCAGAAGGAGCACCCTGGAAGCCCTGCTCAAGGACAGTTCTCTGCTTACCCACTAACACTTGCTACCAGCTCTGTGGTGGTTTGGGCTGGAAAGCCTGAGAGCGAATGAACGCTGCTGACCTTGGCTGCTGCCGGGGGCTCCTAGCCCGAGCTGCCGTTATCCCCAGAGCCCTGGCAGCAGCATCAAGACATGTATGTGGCTTGAGTTTACTGCTGCTGTATGGGGAGAAAAGGAAGAGAACTCCTAGAAAGGGACTGAAAAACCTGGATTGGGAGTTGGTGGAGGGGCCTCCTTCCTTCCCATATCGGGCCAGTTTCCTTGGATACCGCTAACATAACCCTTAAGGTAGAAAACAGGATCGAGAGAAGCTTAAAGGCAACACCAGTAAGCATGCCAGGGGCTTGTATTCTGTATCGGATCCACGAAGCGGCTACTTAGCTCTAAACTCCTAACTTGGATTCCTAACTGCTGTTTGAGGCATAAGAAGAGGCTTTTAAAGAATTGCTCTTTCACCAGAGAAAAAATACAGATAATGTGGCCTGAAATTCTGTTTGTATTTTGACCAGGACGCCAGTAGTTCAATTGTCTGACATTTGATGATTTTTAGAATGTCTGTTTATAAAAAGCACACTTAGGCCTTGGGAACAGGTAGACTAAGTAAGATGGTTGCACCCCTGAGCAGAAGCAATTTTAGTGGAAGCTGTTAGGATGCTTTCAGAAAAAGAGGTTTGGGAATTGGAGAGAGGAAGAGGAACCTAGAGGGGTTGGGGTCTGAGAAGCTGCCACCCTCAGTTGTACAGGATTGGAATTTGCCACATTTAGCTTGTTAAAATGCTTTTTAATTTAAATCAAAAAATAAATGAGTGAATCCATTCAGGGCCCTAGCTAACATTACAAATAATAAAAGAAATAGAAAGCACAGGACAGAGCAGAGTAGTAAAAGATGCTGGTGTGAGCAGCAGTGCTCATTTACAGCATCATTATCAGTTAATTACTTTGACCTAGGAAATCTAAAGCACTGTGTATCTTAGAACTCAAACAGAGCCTTAGAAAGGTGGTCTGGAGATGGCTTGGAGAGTGGGGACAAATGAGAGAATGCTAGTGATGTCCCCAATTGTAGTAACTGACTCAGGGAGGCCACCCTGGCCTCGACCACCTGAGCCCTACCCTTTATACACAACTGAATGCTGTTCATGTTTTTCTTTTAGTGTCTTTTGCCACATTTTGCTCCACAAAATCCTGTGCTGCTTTGTTCACCTGCTGCTTTGGAAAGCTAAAGGCTAAGAGGCCATCTGAAGTTTGTCCACACATAGATGGTCTGTGTGTACAGGGGTAGAACAAATGGAGCCAGTGGTAGCAGTGGTAACAGAGGAGGGGTGAATGCTGACAATACAAGAATGCAGGGGGACAGATACACAGTTCAGCTGAGACAGCAGCTTAGGGACCCCCTCTGTTGGGTTGTATTACTGTAGCCTCTAGAACATTGCTCCCGAAAAGATACATATTTGGAGTTTAGGAGGACTCAGGAAACTGCCACACTCCTGACTGAGGGTGGATGTGGGGATCCTGGGAGGAATCCTAGCGAGAGACTAAATCTCTTTTTCTGGGCTGAAGGCTAAGTGCTGAACCTCATGTGGTCTGGAGAACACTTTGCTTCCCAGGGAAGCAGCCCGAGTTTGGGGAGTGACTGTGAGTCTTTGGCCCAACTCCCCCTTAGAGTTGGTGGTGCACCTATGGGGCTGTACATCACAACCGCTCCCACCCAACAAACAGAACCTGGCTCAAACACTTATTTTGCACCCATGTTTCTTGCCTTTGCTGTACTCCCACCACCACTTCCCCTGGAAAATATTCAAGAGCACGAGAAAGGCTGAGTACTCCCTTCCAAAACGTTTTGGTCTTGTGAAATATTACTTTAGAAATCAATCTAGTTTAAACTAAATATTTTTTTTTAAACCTCAGTCTGTTTTTAGGCAAAATACAGATCTTTTGGAGGTATTTATTATTTCAGAGGCAGGGGCAATTTTGTATCTTGTGATTTGCTTGTGAGAACTCAAAATAAACTGGACCTGAAAAGAACCAGGCCAGAAGGGCATAAACACACATTTTATATTTACAGGAATTATGGCTCAATTCCCTTCATCTTTCAAACCGCTTTTTACCTTGTTTCTCTAAACAAAGCAGTAGAAATGATTTTGAGAATTCTCCTAAATAAGTATAAAAAGGAAAGCGCCAGCACATGCTAAGAACCCCAGACAGAACAGCATAGCCAGGAGGTAACAGAAGAAAGCAACATGTTCTTGCATATGTAACCTCAGCCCCACCTGTACCAAGGACAGTGCTTCATGTGACACTGACGACTGTGTTCTTTTCTCTACTAGGGTGGGACTGAGTCATCTTCCACGTTAGCCATTTGTCCCAGAATGTTTAGGACATCTAGAACAAGGCGTGTCGTCCAAGTGGCGGCAAGGGTCTCCTTCTGTGATCTTGCAGTTCCTCCCATTTTTGTTTTCCTTTTGGGAAATAGTTGTTTACAGACAGGGCAAGTGATAATAGTTCAAAGTACACATCTACAAAGTAGAATCTCATTCGATTGGGCTTTTATGTCTATTTCAAAAATGAAAAGCATGAAAAGCTGTCCTTGACTTTTATGTGGTTTTTTTCCTTCCTAGCAATTTCTTCTTGGATTTGGTATGGGGGTGGGGTTGTGGAAGACGGCCCTTTTCCCCTCCTGTTCTCCACCCAGAGCTGATCTGTGGAGATGGAGCGGCGAGGGGCTGATCCAGCTGCAGATGACTGTGGAAAGGTTGATTGATTTTATGGATCCTCCTGTCCAGCTTTGATTAGGAAATATGTCAGTAGGGACAATCAAGACCTGCAGAATGGCTGCACATTTTCCTCTCCTTTTCCCTATCCCTTCCTTCCTTTACTCTGTTTGCCCTTTACTTCTTCCCTTATAATTCACTTTCCATCAATGTTTTAGTTTAAAACTGATCTTTTCCCATTCTCCTATTACTGAACCTGTGACTGGTATGAAAGAATGACCTACAGGTACATCTTAAGTCCATTAAGAAAAATCTTAATATTCAAAAGGAGCAGAATTTCTATTTTCTCCAAAGGGTCTATGGCTAGTTCCCCATGTTAAGTGGTAGATGTATTGTTCTTCTGGAGAACTGTCATTGATAGGGAAGAATTAAATACTTTATCAGGCACCCAAGTCTGTAAATACAGGCCAAAGTAACATAAGATAATCCATAAAATGAGCTTACAAAAGCAGCATACTGTAGCTACATGGAGGTTGTTTTTAGTTTTATTATACTAGTCCCAAGAGAAATGATAAATCTAATCTTTGCTGCTTTGTAATGAATATAGAGTTTTAAATAAAAATGGCATAAGACATGTCTTACAGGGTTTGTGTTAAATACTCATCCACATTATTGTTTTAAACAAATTATATACACAAATATTTTCAGGGCCAGAGCCATGGCTCAGTGGTAGGTACAACGTGTGCCTCACATATTTAAGGCTCTGGGTTCCATTGCCCAGCATTGCTAAAAATAAAAATAAAGAACAAATACTGAAAAAAAATTTCTCATAAGCTGGGGGGAAATCATTCAGAATTCAGAAGAAGAAATAAATGTAGGAGTGCATATTTTGCTCTAAGAAGTGAGTAAGTAATGTACTTCAGCTACAGTATGCAGTGTAGTCCTGTGCTCAGAACAACATGGGAATGGAAATGGCAGTTTACAATGTGGGGCTTTGGAGAAAGCATTCAGATGACTGGAAGGTCTTTTGGTGACTTGAGGCCCCCGTGCATTCCCAGTCCTAACTCTGGTGTTGTTCACATTCCTGGGAAATTCTGTTCTCTAGTTTCCTTTGCAAATTTACATGAATGGATTTCTTTAGCTCTAACAGTTCCCTCCAAACCTTTTCTACATTCTTCTAGAGGATTTGGTTATAGACAAGGGACTTAAGCCAGGGTGGTTAGGTTTCAGGTTAACAAAAAGAAACACTTTTATTGTCAATATTAATGGCAAACCTCGATTTTTACAAGGCTTGGGTTTAGCAGCATGAGCAGATCAAAAGCAGCTTAGCTTCATTTCTCAATATTCTCTGGAGCTTAGACAATTAACTGCAATTTTGCTCCTAACGAAAGAACGCATAAAAGTTAGTTACGGAAATGTTAAGGTTAGTCTTTGGGTGGAGTGGTTTTTTTTTTTTTTTTCCTTTTTCTTCAAACCTGTGTATAGCATCTCAGAAGCTAGTGATAAATCTATCCCCCTCAACTCTAGCTGAGTTTTGAAGAAAAACTCTTTAAGAAAATGTGTGTGAGCAGGGTGTCCTCATTTGCAATGCCATGAGCCGGTTTCAGTGAGCGCATTCCACGCTAGCCTTTCTGGCTGGGTAAGGATCCGGCAGACTGAGGTCTCCCTGGTAATTTGGGTACACCGAGTCTCCAGTTAATGATAGATAATCAGCCTTTGGGTCATTCGGTCATTCTCTTATTACAAACCCCTCCTGCTCTCTCTGATCTCCTTTCAAACTAAATTTCACACAAACAAATAAAGCAAGACAGGGACAAGTTCTTTTTTAAAAAAAGAGGGAGAAATATTAGAAACTTCTGATACAGAACTCTAAACAAGGAAAGGCAAGCTAAAAGAGGATAGGAAAGAACATCTTATCAAAATGAACATGTTGTGTACAAAACATTAAAAGAAAAGGCTCTGGTTTTTGTTAAAGTGACAGAAAATTAAAATAAAAATAAGTGCAGGCAGAAAAGTTATAATGTAAACAGAGAAGGCAGGATGCTTGTTGGGAATGCGCAGCACTGAGAGGTTATGGTGTTGTTGCAGATTCTATATCTGTACTATGACAGGGGAAGCTCTACTTTTTTCCATTTTCCACAACAGGAAAGTTTTCTTTTTCAATGCAATTGTGAGTGCCCATTTAAGCTACACAGGCCCAAACCTCAAGGAACAAAAATGGAATTGCAATCTGCTTGCACAGCATCCAAGTTCAAACGAAGAAATCGGTTGCATATAGAAAAAGCAACATTCCATTCAGAAAACATTTGGAGACAGCTCCAAAAGGGTGTGACTGATGCTTTCTTTTCTTTTCTTTTCTTTTTCTTTTTTTTGGGGGGGGGTTTTGTTGACAGAAGGCGCAGTTCAGTCTTAGGAAAGTCTTCCCTTGCTCAGTCTACATCTGCCTGTGACTTGAGAATGAAACTTCACTCTGGCCAAGGCACAGCTCAGTTCACATCCTCCTGGAGAAGCACGGTAATGTTTGGACCTCTGGTGAGAGCGCCCCTAGTGCCATCTTCCTGTCCCTGCTCTTACCAGGTCTGTTCGGCTTACCTACAGTATAGGGCTCCAGAAAGATGGATGGTGACCATTGGTGTGGCCCCCAAGCCTTAGGTTTTCAATCCTAAATGATTAGGGATTTTGATTCAGCACTTGATTGACCTGCAGTTAGAGGTAACAGGTGGTGGAAGTGCGACTCCTGCCATTATTCCCAGGTGTGGGTCTGGCACTCCTTAACTGGACAGCATCCCTGATACACACCCATCCCTCTCCCTGTGGGATGGAGGATTCACATGTTTTTATTGCTTCTAGGCCCAAGCTGAGTACCCCAGGAAGCCTTCCTAGTTATCTCCCTTTTCTCTGCCCCAGATCTAGACGTGCTTATGAACTCCTTTCTGGGGTCATCATTAGTATTCCCTTTGTAGTTCTCTGGGCACAAATCTGTCACCTCCTTCCGACTGTAGATTCCTTGACAACCCAATTAATAAATTTCAGCCAAAAAACCCCTACATACCCAAGCAGCCTGTGGAAGAGAGATTTAGAGAAATGTAGTATAGTGTTGCAACCACAGTCTGATTGGTTTTCCTTGATTTTGAAAGTGATGAGAGTGGGTTGAGGGTTTGGAAGTAGTTTATTAGGGTACACACCTTCCTCTCCAAGCCTTTGGAAGAACGGGGAAAAGATTCCTCCCGGTCAGTTGGGCCTGCAGCAGGCCTAGTCCAGCCTGGCCCAGATGGCACTGGTGCCCGCATCCTGAGCACCCCTGTCAGCGCTGGGCAGGGCTCCAGTGACTCTCCACAAACTAACTGCGTGGTCGAGTTTGGGCTCTCTAAACCTTACCTTAAGTGGGGACAGTGGAGATGACCGCACAGATTTGGGGGTGCATGGGGCTAATTAAAGGGATCAAGGTATCTTCCAGTGAGTCACCTTATACACACAGACTGTCCTAAATATTCATGCATTTTTTCTTTCTTTCTTTCTGTCTTTTTGACTTTTCCTCTCTTCCAGCTGCCTGGAGAGCCGACCATCCCGACAGCTATGGGTGCCAGCCTGGCCAGTTGTATCCTCCCGCGACGTCCATTCAGGGGCGTCTTCTGGGGCCCCTTCTCCACGCAGCCTCGGTCCCTCCAGCCCTGCAAAAGTACGGCACCCTGGGGATCTCCGGAGGCTCGGCCCTTGCAGGACGGTGGGCTCTGGGCCACGCATAGTGCCACCGAAGCTTTGGGAGTACGAGGCACCACCCCAGGTTAAAACCTGCACTCCACCACCCTTGTCATCCTGCTTCAATTCTCATTGTAATCCCCAACCCTGCCGGATCCCAGCACCCAGCAGACAGTTTTCGGGCGAGCAAGCTATGGGAGGTCGCGGCTCCGGGAGGGGTGGAGCCTCAGTTTCTCCTGTGAGGCGCGGGTGGGCGGGAAGGAGTTAAACGCACCCCTCTCTCATCCTCCCAGTCCAGCCCCTGCTCGGGGCGAAGGCCCCGCCGGTTCCCTCTTGAGGTCTCATTAGGGAAACCCTCGCCGCTATTTTCAACGTTTCCTCAATCAAGTGTCTTTAAATAGAGCTGCACAAACAAATTGGCGGCAAAAGCGTAGATCGTGTCACCACGGAGACCAATCCAATATTTCAGCTTTGTTTGCTTTGCAATTACGGGCTGGCTTGTGGCTGCGGTGCCACCCGGGCAAGTCCGTCAGGGTGCGCTTTCTGCTCCGCACCGGGCTGCAGGCAGCGACCGCGGAGCCGCGCGGCCGAGGGGAGGCGACGGTGCGGGCGAGGGGCCTCGTCCAGATCCCCCTGCGAGACACTCCCCAGTTCCTGCCGGAGCCACTGAGGCACACGCGACAATAAAGAGCGTAATTCACCTTCGGGAATCGTGTTGTGTCCTTACCAGCTTCCTCTGTGCCCCGCCCTCCCTGCCCCTCTTCAGTCTTGGGCACATTTTATGCAGCGTGTGTTAGCGGTTACTGCGTTTCCCCTTCTCCCTTGGTGTTAAACTGCTAGCATGATTTGTTATATTTTCCATAGCTGCTGATGCTTGTTTGACTTTTTGTACAAAGTCTCTTTAAATCTGCTACAGAAATTAAGCCCAAGTCCTGTGGACGGGTTCCTGCAGGGGTTGGGGCCGCCTCCAGCCTCCTCGAGTTCTTTCCGGGCAGCTTGTCTGTGGAAAGCCCCTGGTGCCCTGGTCACCGCCCTGGCGAGCCTAGGCTGTATCAGCAGAACAGTAGTTAACTCCAATCAGGTCCTAAGCCTTATATTTCACAGACAATTAAATCTTGGCCGCCGTTGAACAAAATTGTAATATTTACTCTGCTCTGTTCCGAGGAGCACTTTTAAAGTAAAAAGCAAATTACATTTCAAAAAGCAACTATCATAATAAATCTCTTTTTATGGATTTTGTCTGCATAAGTGGAAGCAACATGATTTAAATCTTGAACAACTCCCCTCTCATTTTCAAAACTGAAGTTGTGAGACACTGTCCTTCAATAAGGTCTCTGTCTTTTGGGGGAGACACCCACATTGTTGCATTTGTTTAAGGTCCAGTGTTTTACCCCAAGCTCTGGCCCATATAGTATGTAACAAGGATGATTAAATAATAAGCACTTAGAGATGAAGTCTCCTTTTTACACGGACTCAAGAAAGACGGGTGCGACTTGGGTAATTATTTTGTGAGTTCATATTACTTTCTAAATGAAAACCCATGTTCTTCTCATGTCTACTTCTGAAGGAGGTAGACAGATAAATATTTTGGTGAGAAAAACTATGGAGTGCATGTTAAGATGTACTTCTTTATTCTTTAAGAACTGTAAGGAACAGATCTACCTTCGTTCATAGTCATACATGCAATTTCCAGCCATTCTGGCCAATAAATAATTGCTTTCTTGCCTAACATTATTTTGGTTTATAATCCCATTTGAATTGCATCTTCACTGCTCTGTATCCTCCCGCTGTTGTAACATTTTGCTTTTCTTGTTTAAGGCAAATCTCAGTGTCACTTATGACCGCATAAAATTGTGCAACAGCAAAGCCATAGAATGTTTGCGGTCTACGTAGTCGTTGTGTATGCCTCTCTACAATTTTCTAGCTCATCAATTGCTTAGTATTTCAAGAATTAGGAAACTGTTGCTGGAAAGGGTCCTGTTCCATAAGAATTCTCTTCTTATCAAGAGAATATCCTGGAATATAATTCAGTGCACAAATTATACTGTTACTTTGTTGTGTATTGATATTTAGCATTTCAACTATTGGGATGCCTTAACAATGAACATGTCCTGCCATATCACTTTCAAATGGGTCATCTCAGGTAATTCTGAAGATATTCATGTTAATCCTACATTAAATGAACAACTACAAAATGACCTCAAAGCATTATTCTTCTCCTTTAAATGCCAGCACGCACAATTGCACAGGGAAAAGAAGTACTTTTCATCTGACATTATCCTATAAGGTTATGGTTACATTTATTTCTTTTAAAATCAGAGAAGTTTTAAATTACTTTATTTGGAGGTTTTTTTTTTTGTTTGTTTTTTGAGACAGGATCTTTTCATGTAGTTCAATTGATCTTGAACTTAGCATGTAGCCCAGGTTGGCCTCACATTTGCAATGACCCTCCTGCGTCAGCCTTCCAAGCACTAGGATCAGGGTGTGCGCCACCACACTCAAAGTTTCCAATACTTTTTAATAGAAATTTTGTTTAGCACAGCATTTTGCAGTACCCATGAACCACTGCAACTTGATACTGTCAGATATGTGTGTTTCTGCATCATTACTCATTAGCTTTTCTGCAAACCCACGAAAACATAATAATTTTTAAAAAATCAACATATAAGGAACAATGATTAGGTTCTACATACTTATTTAGGTAAGCCAATGTATTAGAATTAAAAACATGTGCCTGGCATATAAATGCTTCTTTAGGAATTCTTTTGGATGCACAGTTATTATTTTTTAAACCAACTCAGATTTTCAAATACTGAGTTTTCACGGAAAAGGCATTGCATTGTTTTAAACAGTAGCTCCTGGAACAATACCATCCTTAGCTTTTCAAACTTGCAAACAATTTGGCTTGGATAAGTGCTCTCAGCCGACACTGCTTTCCTGATTCCTTTGCAGGTAATTGTTTTCTCTGTATGTACTGGGTGACATACAGACAGTGCCCCTGGTTAGACTGTCGACCTTTTGCAGAATCTACAAGAAAATGGTGGCTTATTTTTCAGTGAATCTTCTTGTGCTCATCTACAAATTCCTGTTAAATTGTGGAATGAGAGAAGCTCGTGCTTTTCTAACTTGAGTCATGAAATGATGATGTAAAGAAGTGTATAAAAACAATACAGGAAGAATACTGGAACACAAAATCTGAAAGAGAAAATTTGCTCAGGGAGGATAGAACTCTGTTTATAATTAGGACAGAGAAGAGCAGTCAGATCCATGTAATTCAAGAGACTGAGTTCTTTCATTCAATGACATTTTCTCTGGATGAAGAAACCCAACCAAAGATATATATGCAAATTTGTAAAATTTGTAAAAAGATATATATGCAAAATTGTGATTTTTAATGCTACTTAAAATATCTTTACGACTTGGTGGTTCTTTATAAATAAATGCATAATGCAGCAATTGGTGTTAAAAAAAAAAGCACTTTTTTCAAATGTGAGTTAAACTGGAACAAAAAGATGTACCCATAAAATGACCTCCATAAGCTCCATCTTGTTGGGGAAAAAATGAAAAAGCTTTTTTTGGATGAAACTAGGCAACTTAACTGTTATTAAGCTGGGATAAATGAAGAAGGAAACTGATTTTGAACATTCCTAGTAAATCTTTCTGCTTTTCCAAACATTGTTAAGTTCTATGCATCTTATGCTACTCGAGTAAAGATGATGTCAGTAATCAAATTACAGAATCTAATCAAGTGACTATTTTTGCTTTATTACAAAGTTTATGTATTATATTGAGCTGTTGAATTGCTTAGTTGTTTTAATGCTGAATTTTTTTTTGAGTTAGAGTGATACATAATGAAGTGCTTATAAAGATAAAAATGATGGTTTATCAAAGATAAAATAGTCACAGTAACAAAGTAGCATTTGAGTCTGTGCACTGTGGACTGTACTTTGTAAATTATATTGCTTCTAAAATCATGACCTAAGTGTTTCTAATGGGGACATCTGAGAAGAGAAATTCGAGTCCTCAATTTCCACAGCCAGGAACACAGTCATGTAAGGGAACGTGCCCTCGGAGGCATTTTTCTGTAGACCTCACCAGTACTTGCTGTATTTTATTAGAAAGCTACAGAATTAGTCTTGGATGCTACAGCTCATGGGGCTTTTCTCTACCTAAACACTTGTTTTTTTGAGACCTTTGTTGTAGTGTAGGCTGGCCTTGAGTTCACTCCTGTAGCCCAGGCTGGCCCCAAACTCATAGTGATCCTCCTGCCTCAGGCTCCTGAGTACAGGGATTACAGGCATGTGCCACCATGCCCAGGACTAAGCACTCAATATTACATGACATTATTATAGCAAAAATAGTGATTGAAAAACTATTGAAGCTGTCCTTGTGTTGGCTTTTTTTTCCCTCATTCTTAACCATATGAAATTCCTGGATCACATGTCATCTTTTCTTGTTGTTTGGGACACTAGCGGTTTTAATTTATCTCAGATGCTTTGAGAAAATAATAAGCAAAATAGCATACATTTTATTGTTTTGTTATTTATGCTTTGTTTAGTGTCAAAAAAGATTTAAAGCAGTTACTTCAAGAACTGGTAGGACAAGGGCTGGGGAGATAGCTCTGTAGAATAAGCACTTGCCTGGCAAGCACAAGGTCTTGAGTTCAATTCTTGGTACTACAAACAAACAAATGAACAAAGAAAGCAGGGTCCTGGGAGTGGGAGGTACAGTCCTGCATCCTGACTATAATAGTTATTAGTTATGAGGCCTCAGAAAAATTATTTAACCACTTTCTTCTTCATTTACCACATCTGTGAGAGGTGGGTACATAATTACAGCTTTTATCACATTGTCATAAGTAAGATTTGGTGCGATGAACCCACTTGAAACTCTTATAGAGGGTCTGGTTGATATGGTTTGCATGTAGATGTCCCCCGAAAGCCTCCTGCAGTTGTGGGCAGGATTCTAGAGTCTGTGATTGATTCATGGTCCAGTGCTGGGATTATGGGTATGAGTGCTACACTCGCCTTGGGGTGGGCAACGTGCACACAATAGGTAGCCAGCATGCAATATAAGGGACAGAAAGAGGCTCATCTCCCCTTTCTCTTGTTGCTTTTGGTATCATCTGTCACTATGAACTGTTGCCCCTCTGCCATGTGCCACTCTGCCTTAGAACCAGATGACTATGGACTGAAACATCTGCAAACTGTGGGCTAAATAAACATTTTCCCCTTTAACCTTGGGTGTCAGGTAGTTTGTCTCAGTAACTGGAAAAGACAAGAAGACACTGATAGAAAGTAAGTACTTAGTAAGTGTCAGCTCATTGTCTTTGGCAGCTCTGCAGCATGAAGCAGTGGTGTCTATCAGCTGCTGCACTCAGAGACTCTATGCATGAGAATGTTGACCTCCCGTGGACTTCATGAGGTTTGATTCATGCTATCAGGTTCTGCTTTGTTGCTGTGCTGGCAAAAACTTACCTGTGAGAAGGAGATGCATGCAGTCTGCCCTTCTCTCGCCAATTGGTTATACTGGCATTCTTTGAATGGTATTTTGCTTTCTCTTTTTGTGTGTGGATTTGGTACAGGTTCTCACTACGCAGCTCAGACTCATTGTGATCCTCTTGTCTTCAGCCTCCCCATTGCTGGGATTACAGGCATGAGTCCCCATAACTGGTTTCAGTGGCTGGCTCAGCGCGCCTGGGGGCGGGGCTGGCACATGTGCTGTGGGGGATCAAACCCTTGTCCCTCTGCTTGCCTGAGCAGGTGCTTAGTCCACTGAGCTATCTCACCTGCCTTGAATGGCCTTTAATAGAAGGTTCTTAGCAGGTGTCTCTTTAAGCTCCTTGTCCATGACAAAGTTTTGCTTGACTAAAACTATGTATTCTTCTTCCACCTCACCAAGCCAATCTCACTTTGGGTGTGCTTGCAAGAGAATCCCTGGCAGCCCCTGTAAAGACTGCATCGTGTGGGGTAATGTTCAAGATGGCTGTTGACATAGGACCATGTGATGGCATCAGTGGTTATACTAAACAGTGTGCATCACCCCTGACTCTTTGTAGAAAAGCCAGTAGCAAAGGACTTCCTAATACAGCCTTCAGGCACCCTGTTTCTTCTGTTTGAGACTCAGAAGTCACTATGGTTTCTGCCATTTCTCTACCCTGATACTCTGTGGCAGAGTGAATAGAACCCTTAGGTATGCACTGGACATCATGTTCTGGAAGTTGCCTGACTGTATTTCCACATAATGGTGTAGCTCCTTACCCTTCACAGATAACTTTCATTATTTCTTTCATTTGAATTTAGCATTGATATGAGGCAGGTAAAACATGTCCAGTTCTATCAGTTTTGAAAATAAAAGAGACAAGCAGGTCATCAGGAATGTGCAATAATCACCCATGTTCACATGCCTGATGGGCAAAACTTGATTAGAACTTTTTTTGAAGGAAATGTCTTGCTGTTTCTGTCTCATTATGTTAACAAATTTCTAAAATTAATACTCATATTCATCTGAACATGAGTGAGACGGAGCTATAAAACTGAACAGAAGTAATCGTTCCAAGTGATTCTGGAAATGGTTTAAAAGGAGGCACATATAATTAGAATATTGAAGACTTGAATATTAAGCAGTACATAGTGGTGCATTCCTATAATCCCAGTATTCTGAGAGACTGAGGTGGGAAGATTACAGATTTGAAGCCAGCCTGGACAGTTTGGTAACTTAGCGAGACTC